CCCCAAAACCCCAAAACCCCAAAACCCCAAAACCCCAAAACCCCATTTCTTAAGAGGAAATTTGAAATATTCAGTATAATTTTTAGGTCAATAGTGGGTTTAGACTAGAGATGAAGGAACAGAAGGAAGATTAGGAGTGAAGGTGGCTTTTAGTGGGAGATTTATATGGGTTATTCAGTAGATGAGGATATTTGGTTGGGACTCTATTTGGGCTGATTGGTGAAACGGAATCTTGGTTCTCTAATTGGATGGGGGATTAAGCCGTAGCTTGTCTGTAGTGGTAGTGAATTGGCAAATACCTCTGTGTCTGGATGGTTTGAAGATTTTTTAAGGCTTTTTCTAGGCCCCTTGGTGGCTTTTTTTGGTGAAAGAATCTTCATACATTTTTGCCGAGCAATTTTAGCGATTTTCTTATCACCAATAGAGTTAACTATACAGTATAAGTTCCAATTAACTCACGATAATCACTAAATTTTTCTTGAAGAGACTGGTTTTGGTCAACAGATCTGCCACTAAATGGAGTTGAAAAAGACTCGCTGCCAGTATTAAATAGATCAAAACTCTTCCTGAATGTTTGATTGACTCTCTTCTTGGGCTCTTCTGATTTCTGCTTCTCTGAACTTATCACCTCAGGAAGATTTGCAATGGTCATATCAGGTCTTTTGATATTATAATGCAAAATCTGGTGCCATGGAGCTTTTAGCTGAACTGCAGGGTCTTCCAGGATCTACAATCATATAGTTAAATTACCTTCATAGCTTCCTTTTTACTGGTAATGAAATTGAGACTCTTTATTTGAGGACTTTTGCCTCTTTCTTGGAACACGTAGCCATCTTTATCCTGTAAAGATGTGGTTGAAGCTTACTCTTTCGTTTAATTTACCACTAAACTTTTCCTTTGATAAGGAGTAATAACTCTTGGAATGTCTCTCCTTCTTCAAAGCAATTTTCTTTCTTCTCTTATCCCTAAATATGAATCGAAAGATTACTGGCCGTTCAATTTGAGAAGTTTTGGTAATGATGCTCCTGAAAGAATCCCACTGAAATAACTGTTGTAGAAATTAGCAGAAGGGCACTGGAAGAACTCAGGTAATTTGTTAAGATTATCCTTATATGGCAATAAGGTCGAATCAGGATAGTCCTCTAGTAAGTAATCTGGTTGGTATTTCTAGAAGTAAAAGGTGCAACATACTTTGCTAAACCTTTTGGCATCAAGCTTATTGATCAACCCTAAAAATAATAATAAGAAGCAGTTTTACCCTTAAGGCTTTCCATGCGTTGATTGGCATCATAGCCATGCATGGTCTCTCTCACCCTGTTAATCCTCGTAGGTTTTTTATATGTTTTTTTCATTTTTATTTTTCAATAATTTTTCATTCTCCAGGGGTTTTGGGGTTTTGGGGTTTTGGGGTTTTGGGG